GTATTTTGCTGATGTGCTTATGTTTTCCTCAGTGAGATGATCGAACCAAAACGTTGAAATGGTGACATGGCTGTAGCTGTTAATAAAGTATACTGATGCAAATAATCCAATCAACTAAGAACTTTGTTTACATTAACAGTGGGAAGGTGGATCGCAAAATATGGGAGTGCGAAAGGGGAGGGTACGCTTGGCCATTGATCATTCAGAGATCACTGTTTACCACAATTGCGAGGCGCAAGTGTGTGGTTATGGGGGTAGGAGGAGAGGGGAATAAGTTAACTCCCTTCTCCCCCTCTCCGTCCACCCGCATTCACTCCTCCCGCTTGTCCCATGCCTTTGACACCCCTCTCTCTTTAGACCTTAAAATACTGTCCACGTTATCCCAATTCAACAGGAGGGCTAAACATTTATCACTTCGCAAATGGGCTTTTCACACTGTGTGGATGTCAATGTCGCCAAAATGCCCATTTTAATGACACGGAAAAGTTAGACTTTCGTTATTAAAAGCGAAGACATACAAAAGGTACGGCAGTAGGATTGATTTCTACGCTACAATGATAATGCCATCAAAGGCACTTCAGTTGGAGACTGCTTGATGAAAGTTGTATACTTGTTAGTTCTCAAGCCTCGATTCTCCTTGATTCTCGATTATCGCCAAAATTTAATGCACTAATCCAAGTAAAAAGGCAGATTCATATTATCAAAGCCAAAAAGCATTTTTAAAGGGGTGTGAAGTGAAGTGAATGCGGCTGTCAAGAGAGCCATTCTACTGTTGGGATATCTTTCCTTCACTTCATCAGGTTTATGCTCTGGCTGTAAGATGAGATGGAATTTACTCGCGTGGGAAGCGCACGATATCCTTACCCCCTCCTCTTCTCGGATATTAGCCATATGGACAGAATCCCGAGGCAAGCAGGTACAAGAGAGAGAGGCGAGAAAGAGTAAAAATGTCTATCGCAGCTGCGTAGCCCTTCACTTTTCCAGTAGTAGGCGCAATGAAGCATATCCATGCGTACACATTTTTTGCTTACTCTTGTGGAAGTCCATTTGTTCTGCCTTACTATTCACCTTTGCGATAATGCGCTGCTCGACATGCATTCTAATGATGCAATGTCATCAGAATGGATGAGACTGTGAGGAATGGAGCTAACGGATTCAAACCGCAGTTACAGTCACATGGACACATTAGCACTACGCCATAAGGCCTCGACCACCTCTCGGTTTTGCATCCATGTGTGAGAAATAATTTCGCCTTTAAAGTGGGAATTTATAGTAAAATGATTTCACAAACCCTAACATTTGACCCCTTGCCTTAAGTTAACTTTTGACGCTGTCTTTGGGAAAATCAATCTGTTAATCTTCAAATGGTCAAAGAGATATAAATATTCGTTTAGTGCACAAAGGATTTTATTTTGCAGGGGTTTCGCATAACACGGTACATAAGACGAAATAATTTCGCTCTAATTTTTGTGTATCTGCAGTAAATTACGTCACTTTCTAATGCGAGTGGTGGCATAAGGAAAATCGTGTTGGGAGTACCCTACCCTGAAGCTCTGATACCCAAAGATTAAGACCGAAACCGTTTTTCATAGTTTTCTAGTAATTTTAGAGCTGTAGGAATAACAATCCTCGTCATGCATTCAATACATTCAACAAACGAATGTGACCCAAATGAACAGCTACTGGAGAGAGACGAAGGGGATTGCAACAATAACGTGATTTTATGGTCAATTGAAGAGGAGTGTTTGAATTAGTGCCTTTCCAGAAACTGTTGAAGGATCTGCTCCAATCTATTCGAATTAGGGTTCAATGAAAATGGCTAGCACGAGAAACAGTTTTGTTTTGTGCTCTCCAAACAAATGGGGAGTTTCCGCATCTTCCTTTGCAACATGCAAAACGTGGACTCGAGAGATTTCCTCGTAATTGTCGACTCAACACCAGCAAGTTCTGCTCGTTGCCCTGGTGGAAGCGCATTTTCGTCTCCGATTCCGTCCAGCTATTATCACATGCCTTTTGACGCACTCCCTCTGCACACACGGAAACGACTGCCCTTCACGCCTTGCCATCTTCACGGCTCGCATCTGCTGTAGTTGCATGCACGGTGGCTGCCGTAATTAGTGATTCAGCATGGAGACATCAAGGGTAGAACGAGATTTTGGTGCGACAAATTTCGATTGTACAGACAATCAAATAGATGCGTTATCAACTGGAGAAAGGATCCACTTTAGCTGTTTTCTATGCACAGGTACATTTGGGTAAACTTTGGTTAAAATCACGTTAAGCAGGGAATCCTTGGTCTTGCATGAATACATTTTTCTCTGGCCAAAATTTGCCAATTTTCATAACAGAAGCAATAAGTTAAACCCTTCTTTCATAAAGTTACATGCAAAACTACCTTTAAAAAACTGTAGGGATGAGATAGATTGCGCCCAAATAGCAAAGCATTAATGCCAAATTCCAAAGGCCTTGTATGGTCCGAGAAATAAAAGGAGGCAAAGATCCTAAAAGGGAGGTCTAGAGTGATTCGACTTTCTGTGCAGTATGCAACATCCTTCGAAATCAGACTCTTGTTTTGAAATGCAACTACAACTCTCCTTCTCTGACCGCCATTCCACCATCAAGGCACACCACTCCCATCCACACCCCACCTCACCCCACCCCCTCCCTCTCCCCACATCTCCACTAATCCTACTCCCTCGAGGTCTGCCACATGGCTCATTGGCGGTTCGCCAAGGCGCCAGAGTACTGCCACCTACAAATGAGTTCTTCTGGAGATTTGAGACAACCTCCACAACAACTCAAGCAGTCGCACTCACCAGTTTCACCAGAATCGATCTCCCACAATTGAACTATCCGTGAAAGTGTAGGCAGTACATTGAAAGAGTCGACGGTTTGTAGGTGTGAGGTGCAAAGATGACTAACAGCACTGATCAGGTAGGCAATATGATGCCTGATGTTCATTCCATTTACGAAATGTTGGTAAAAGTGTTCAGTCGTTCTTCCCACCCCGAAGCAGTGTTCTTACAAGGCTGCTCTTGAAACAGCAAGACTTTTATTGGGTAAAAAAATTATTAATTTAGGCTGAATAAATGTTCCCTAAGGAGAGAAAGGGTAGTAAGCCTGAGCTTGGCCCAAAGACCGATCCAAAGTAATTGCTAAACATCAGATGGTCATATAAACAAGGTATGAAAAAAATTTACACCCGAATTAACCACATTAAGTCCGATTCATCCATCACTGATTGTAATGCACAAAACCCACCCTTTGAGATAAGCATGATCCTTTGATAGAAATTCGTAATGTGGTGTTCTATCTCGCCATTAAAAAAAGGTTATTTTGACTCCCGCAAAAATATGCTGTGGATTTTACAGGCATCATAAATATGTAGTGGAGTTGAATGAGAGCAGGGTTGAGACAGAGGTCTTAGTATGTTCTTCAGCCCTTGCCATAACGATTAGACTACTCCCTCCCCTCCTCTGATTGGTCATTTGTAATCGTGGCTTCAACTTCAAGTCGCTTTCAGTCTCCGGGCCTGAAAGCGCCTTTTGAGCCAACTCAATAACAGGCAAAGGTATTGACATCATATATGGAGCAAAATTTGAAAGAATTCCAAGACAACTCGAATGATTGCATTGCATCAATGAGATCACAAGCAAATTGCATGCGAAATGACTCTGTGAAAGTCCTAATTCTACATTTGACGCAGTTTTGACCTAACCAGATTTGAATCAAATATTCTTGGGCCTTGCTAGGGCTTAGTCTTAACCGATTAAACCGCTGTGTTGTGACATAGGGCAAAGAATAAGGAATATTAAGACTCACGATCGGTATTGCCTCTGATCTTGATGATTTAGCTGAGTTGTTCGAATAGGAGCTACCTGCGATCATAGCAGACGTTCATTAATAATGCAAATGGGAGCATCAGACAAACTCAAATTATGACAATCGAATGCGTATCCAAAATACTCTGCATTCATGTAGTCCCTACTGTTTTCAGAGGACCAGACTAAGTCAACTTGCCTAAAGACGAGCATGTAGAAGGGAAGTTGAAAAGTAAGGAAAACAGGCAAAATGAGGTGATAGGGTGAATAGTGAAGATAGGAGTGCGTATTGCAGTGTTATTTGTCTTATGTGGAATTTGCAACACAATGTGAACCAACGTATCTGATTAGACGCCCAAACATCCTTTAGCGATAATGAGTTCCCAAATTTTATGGTTCATGACAAAAAGTCTCCACACCGCAACTGTTTTTAAGTGAATAAGCCCACCTTTAAAATCAACCTTGGCTGTGCTGAGCAATGAAAACTTAGAGGCGGTAAGAGTGGTTCTGGTTCTCACTTTAATGCTCTGTATCTCACCAATAATGCTTACCTCGAGTACCAACTTCTACAGGTCCATTTTCCTTCCTTCCTCCACCATGCGTGCATTTTACTCCTTTTCATCGCCATCCTCACTTCAAACCACTTGACTCGACGTTGATCATCGAGCACAGTGGGTTGGTGATCTTTTCCACTGTTGCATAAACTCCTTTGTAATAAACTTTAATTTTGCTATGGGTTTGCTGGCTATTGGAAAGACCAAACCAGCAGACAACAAAGCCTCATCCATAGCATGACCACAACAACAGCCTTCGTGGCAGAAATCATAAGCATACCATCAAAATAGTTACCATGGCACTTATTTTATATCACCTCAAAGGGCGTGATCACAATATACGATGATCGCTTTGGCACATCCTGTTTATGAGATTGTGCAAATTCTAACCTGACAACATGTTTTCGTTCACACGTGCCCGTAGTTTGCCCTCAAACTGTACCTGTGTTAGCACCACAAATAAATATAATATAGCGATATATAATAATATATGTCTAGCATATAACTGCAGTAAAACAATGGAAAAGTTGGTTCATAAACGCCAGGACTATCGCTATTATTAACAAATTTGTGACCTGGCGGTAGGGTCACATCACCATAGTAACTCATACGTTAAACTCTGGCGCTAACACATGAAGCACGAAGGCCTACCGGTCGGCAGCATAGACGATACACGCGATTGTGGCAGCGACAATGAGGGAGGACATGCCCTCACAATGGTCGCCATGGTACTCCATATTGTTTGCATCACCTTCCACAGCGTGACCACGATACGCAATGATGGGTTTGGCACGACCTCTACACAAGTGAATACTAAACCCCACCCGACAACTCGTCTCCCCTCACGTGTCCTCCACCGACTTGACACTGCCATGCTGCTGGACTGTGACAGTGCAGAGAGTCTCACCAAGAGCACGGTGCCAATGTGAGTCTGTACCCACTTCCCATCATACCATGACCATTCGCCAGGCACCAAGATTCTCTCACATGACACAAAATGGCTTCGTGGCTAGTCATGTGTGGCACAAATGTGTCGCATTGTTGACCAAACGATTGCCATTCCAACTGAATGGAAGCGCCTTCTACTGCCTAACACCGAGCACTTTACCACCACGTGACAAAACACTTTCCCATCCACACACAAGTACCACCGTGTCTCTGACATGTCATCGCCTGTTTGAGAAGGCATGGCAGGTTTCCACTCCTTCCACCACATGCGAAGAGGAGGCGACTCCAGACAGTGTATCACCTTTCTGCTAGCGACAGGAAGAGGAGCGCTAGTCCCCAATCTGATATGAGTTTTCTTTGCTCATATGGTGAAGGGTCACTGCCATGTAAAGGCGGGCGTTTATTGAGGAGGCAGGTGAATGGTGCGGACTTGGCTCAGAAACATTGTCAAGACCGCAGCAAACCTACTACGAGAAGAGTAGCAATTACACCACGCACTTAGGCAGATAGTGACCGTGCACATGTACGACTGCATGCATGCACAATAGCTTCTTCAATCTTCGAGAAATGCGACACACAATCACCCGATTCGCGATCACTTGACAGGACACATAACTTGCATCAGCGTGACATCCTGCGGACCTATTAGCAAAGAAGGCCTGCTTACACACAAACCTCCATCAAACTATTAAGGACTGTGCTGTACCTCCCAACGATCCCAATGCACGTGCGTGACAAGAGAAAGCCATATATGCATATGCATGAATGCAGTAGGATAGCGAGACGTAACAAATGAAGGAAGGCTAATCGACTGCCTCATGGCGTGTTGCGACACTTACGTAACAACAACAGCGCTTCACATACACTGGGCCCACATCTCTTGATGTCTCCTCGGTGGCAATCGACAGTCGGTGTGATCAGAGCAGGAAGGGGATGATGACGATGATGGTGCCAGGTGAGTGAGTGAATGCGTGAGTGAGGAGCATTGCTATCACAAAAGCCAAGTTGAGAGGTGACGCTACAATCGCATGTGATGCTTTGGCAGACAACATTGGTCACAATACTGTCCCTGTGGAATGCCCTCAACAGTTGCAGCATATCTGCATTCGACACTAACATCCTCTTCACACTATGCAACACCTCGTCACATAAGCCCAACATCTCCACCTTCTCTGCACGAACATCGTTTCTGCCTACAACACTAAAGAAGGTG